TACGATTACTTCAAGAGTTGGAAAATTTTACAAAGACGAACATATTTTAAAAGCCAAGCAGTGGTTTTCTTCAAATAAACTCCAACTGAATGAATCAAAAACCACACAGATTACATTTACCTCTGATAAATTAATAAATGTATCTCAACCGGTGAAGTTATTGGGACTTACCCTAGATACAAACCTGAATTGGATGGCACATGTAAATGATCTTTGTAGAAAATTGTCTACGCAAGTATTTGTATTACGACGACTACAACCATTTTTAGATAGCCACACTCTAAGGACTGTATATTTTGCTCTTATCCATAGTAAACTAACTTACGGTATAACTATTTGGGGTAACGCAAATGTACAGAGGTTATTTAGCATGCAAAAAAGTGCAATTCGGATAATTGACGGTTCTGTATATGGTGAACATTGTCAACCGCTTTTTAAGAAATATAAGATTCTTCCTCTACCTTGCCTATACATTTTTGAGGCTTTGTTATGGATTCATAAAAACTATTCTGAAAACCATACTCATTCAGATTATCACGACTACAATACTAGGAACAGAGAGAATCTTGTAAATCAACTATCACGAATTAATATTACGCGAAACAACAAAATAGATCTAAATCTGTACAACCACTTTGTCAAATGTAGTGTAATTCCAGTCAAAATCATGACAATAAACTCATTTCATAAAGCTGCAAAGGAATTCTTGTTAGAGCACTGTTTTTATTCAGTAAAAGACTATCTTCTGTTTAGTCAAAACTGAATATATCAATTTTAACTTTGTACATAAGTCTTATGTTTTATTTTAACTTGTTTTCATTTTAACTTGTATGTTGTTATTTTAACTGTGTGTAAATTTATGTTTTTATCTTATCAACATTATAAATCTGTTTGTAAAAGATTGTGAATAATAAGATTATATTTTATTTTTGTAACAAAATGTAAAAAATGTGACATCAAATGTACTATAGTATGTAATTGTCAATAAATGCATCTATCTATCTATCTATCTATTATTATTATTATTATTATTATTATTATTATTATTATTATTATTATTATTATTATTATTATTATTATTATTATTATTATTATTATTATTATTATTATTATTATTATTATTATTATTATTATTATTATTATTATTATTATTATTATTATTATTATTATTATTATTATTATTATTATTATTATTATTATTATTATTATTATTATTATTATTATTATTATTATTATTATTATTATTATTATTATTATTATTATTATTATTATTATTATTATTATTATTATTATTATTATTATTATTATTATTATTATTATTATTATTATTATTATTATTATTATTATTATTATTATTATTATTATTATTATTATTATTATTATTATTATTATTATTATTATTATTATTATTATTATTATTATTATTATTATTATTATTATTATTATTATTATTATTATTATTATTATTATTATTATTATTATTATTATTATTATTATTATTATTATTATTATTATTATTATTATTATTATTATTATTATTATTATTATTATTATTATTATTATTATTATTATTATTATTATTATTATTATTATTATTATTATTATTATTATTATTATTATTATTATTATTATTATTATTATTATTATTATTATTATTATTATTATTATTATTATTATTATTATTATTATTATTATTATTATTATTATTATTATTATTATTATTATTATTATTATTATTATTATTATTATTATTATTATTATTATTATTATTATTATTATTATTATTATTATTATTATTATTATTATTATTATTATTATTATTATTATTATTATTATTATTATTATTATTATTATTATTATTATTATTATTATTATTATTATTATTATTATTATTATTATTATTATTATTATTATTATTATTATTATTATTATTATTATTATTATTATTATTATTATTATTATTATTATTATTATTATTATTATTATTATTATTATTATTATTATTATTATTATTATTATTATTATTATTATTATTATTATTATTATTATTATTATTATTATTATTATTATTATTATTATTATTATTATTATTATTATTATTATTATTATTATTATTATTATTATTATTATTATTATTATTATTATTATTATTATTATTATTATTATTATTATTATTATTATTATTATTATTATTATTATTATTATTATTATTATTATTATTATTATTATTATTATTATTATTATTATTATTATTATTATTATTATTATTATTATTATTATTATTATTATTATTATTATTATTATTATTATTATTATTATTATTATTATTATTATTATTATTATTATTATTATTATTATTATTATTATTATTATTATTATTATTATTATTATTATTATTATTATTATTATTATTATTATTATTATTATTATTATTATTATTATTATTATTATTATTATTATTATTATTATTATTATTATTATTATTATTATTATTATTATTATTATTATTATTATTATTATTATTATTATTATTATTATTATTATTATTATTATTATTATTATTATTATTATTATTATTATTATTATTATTATTATTATTATTATTATTATTATTATTATTATTATTATTATTATTATTATTATTATTATTATTATTATTATTATTATTATTATTATTATTATTATTATTATTATTATTATTATTATTATTATTATTATTATTATTATTATTATTATTATTATTATTATTATTATTATTATTATTATTATTATTATTATTATTATTATTATTATTATTATTATTATTATTATTATTATTATTATTATTATTATTATTATTATTATTATTATTATTATTATTATTATTATTATTATTATTATTATTATTATTATTATTATTATTATTATTATTATTATTATTATTATTATTATTATTATTATTATTATTATTATTATTATTATTATTATTATTATTATTATTATTATTATTATTATTATTATTATTATTATTATTATTATTATTATTATTATTATTATTATTATTATTATTATTATTATTATTATTATTATTATTATTATTATTATTATTATTATTATTATTATTATTATTATTATTATTATTATTATTATTATTATTATTATTATTATTATTATTATTATTATTATTATTATTATTATTATTATTATTATTATTATTATTATTATTATTATTATTATTATTATTATTATTATTATTATTATTATTATTATTATTATTATTATTATTATTATTATTATTATTATTATTATTATTATTATTATTATTATTATTATTATTATTATTATTATTATTATTATTATTATTATTATTATTATTATTATTATTATTATTATTATTATTATTATTATTATTATTATTATTATTATTATTATTATTATTATTATTATTATTATTATTATTATTATTATTATTATTATTATTATTATTATTATTATTATTATTATTATTATTATTATTATTATTATTATTATTATTATTATTATTATTATTATTATTATTATTATTATTATTATTATTATTATTATTATTATTATTATTATTATTATTATTATTATTATTATTATTATTATTATTATTATTATTATTATTATTATTATTATTATTATTATTATTATTATTATTATTATTATTATTATTATTATTATTATTATTATTATTATTATTATTATTATTATTATTATTAATTATTATTATTATTATTATTATTATTATTATTATTATTATTATTATTATTATTATTATTATTATTATTATTATTATTATTATTATTATTATTATTATTATTATTATTTGTGTTGGACACATCAGATTTTTTTTAATTCAAACATCAGAAAGTGTATAACGGAAAAATGAAGGTTGAAATAATAGGCAAGAAAAAAGATAAAAAGCTTATATTTAAAAATCAAAAATATAAATAAATAGTAGGTATATCATACAAATATTTATGATATCTATTAATACACGTGTACGAGAATTACAATACAAGAATTTTTTCCAATAATTTAATAAATATAAAGATATTGTTGGTAAACAATGTTCAATCGATTACTAAACGATATACTACAAATAGAAATCAAGCTAATACTTAGGTACTTAAGTACATTTGCACTGCCAGTCGTTAACAAATAAGTGAAGCTTAATTTTTATTGGAAAACTGTCTTAAGCTTTGATTATTTCTTAATGATTAGGAGTGCAAATAAAAGAAGCTTAAAATGAAATGAATGAAAATCAAAAATCAAATGACAGTTCTGACAATTTCGAACGATTTGACATGCCAAGCAAAACTAAACAAACCAATGGGAATGCTGGACTCTATTTTTCCCCCCTGTATCAAAACAGAGTCAACTTAGACGATGGCTCTAGTAATATATGCTCGAAGGCTAGTATATAATATTGCTTAAATTAACTATAATAAAAGAAAATACTCATACATATATACTTTCTAATTACGAATTCTATTAAAAATTGTATGTGTTAGTATACGCAAAAATAGTCCATTAGTACACAAATGAATTGGCGCTGCTGTCACGCATGGAGCGAATATTACCACTGCGTTATGTATTCTATTAACTATAACTATGCCTATAACTATATAATTTTCTCTAAACTAAAATTTATCAAATATTAATTACTTACGCTCTAGAAAGTACAGTTTTTGTGATATTTTTACTGTCTTTATTTAAGGACAAATGCTGAGTGCAATTTGAATATCATTTTTTTAATAATTTCAAAATGGTAATATTGTTCTTTGTTTTATTAGTTGTTTAATTGTGTAATAAAAAAGGAGGAGATTAGACGTGTCCCTGAGCACACAACTATTGGCACTAGTAGATACGTTTCTGTATGCATCCACATCTCAAAGCCCAAAATGATTATAAAAATATTTCCGAAATAATTTTCAAATACAGTTCAATACAAGTTCAAATCGTATAATTATACGTTATTTTTTTTTTAATTACAGATAACGGACCATCTCTGGGCTGGCGGGAGTCTTACTCAAAGCCCTACCAGTGGCTTAACTACAACGAGGCGTTATTGAGGGCCAAGAATTTTGGATCGGGGCTTGTAACCAGCGGTTTACCACCCGGACAAAACACATTTATTGGCATTTACGCGCAAAATTGTCCGGAATGGATTTTGACAGAACAAGCAGTGTATTGCTACAGCATGGTACTCGTACCGCTATACGATACTCTAGGTCCAGAAGCATGTGCCTTTATTATCAAACAAGGTAAATTCATTTAATTAGGTACATATTTATAAATTAATATTCACGTCTCGATTATAAATGAAAATAATTAGAGAAAAGTCAAAAAATTTAAATGTTCTAAAATAATCAAAATCAAAACAATCAAATAGGAAAGTCAATAAAATCATTTTTTTATAAATAAAAAAAATGGTCATATCTTGCATTTAGTTTTGCTGAAGTTGCTTTTACAGGAAAATATATTTACAAATTGTTTTGAAATTCCTAATAAAATTTTTCAAAATTACCCCTACGAAATAACGAAAACTTATTTTGAACCGCTAAAGTGAAATAAAATTTATTGCAGAATTTAAAAAACTGTCCTGGGATGGATTCGAACCCTACGCATCAGGACAATAATGACAGTCACTACACAATAGGATATGCAGATGATCTGGTCATTCTGCAAACAGTGAATTTAAAGAACATACTCTGCGAAAGAATGCAAGTAGTTCTAAACATTATAGAACAGTGGTGCAAGGACCATTCACTGTCTTTCAATCCCAAGAAGACAGAAATGGTCCTTTTCACAAGGAAAAGAATGAAAATAGAATTAAAACCTCCAGAACTCCTAAACACAAAACTAAACTTTGCAACAGAGGTGAAGTACCTAGGTCTTACCTTTGACTGCAAGTTAACATGGAACTCGCATTTAGAAAACAATCAAAAGAGCATAACATTGCTCATGAACAATGCAGCCGAACCGTGGGGCGCACCTGGGGTTTCTCCCCCAGAGTCGTCACATAGACTTACACGGCTATCATAAGACCTATGCTAATATACGGTGCGATTGTCTGGGTACCAAAATCACAAAAATTAATAGCTATCCGTAAACTAGAACAAATTCAAAGAACAGCATGTTTCAACATAACAGGAGCCATGGAAACAACACCGACCAGAGCCATGGAAGTCATTCTTAGTCTCACTCCCCTTGATATTTACATCAAGGAGGTTGCTCTGACGACAATGACACGCCTCCGTACGGTTGGAATAGAACCTGATGTAGGATCTGGTGAGCGAGACGTCGCTTTTGGCAGGAGGCGCTCGATACACTCCCACTGCTTCAAGCGAACATGGACTCCATCTAACCGAGATATATCTTCCATAAGCCATATAAACTTATAACAGAACAAATAGAAGAGCCGAAAGTGGCAGGTACCATCTACACCGACGGTTCTAAAACAAAACAAATCTTAGGATGTAAAATATACTACAGATTCTTAAACCTAAACATAAAATGGGCTGTGAGCAATAGTACTAGTGTAGTTCAAACAGAGCTAACGGATTCTCATAGCAGCAAAAAAAATCACCAGAAACAATATCACTGAAAGGAACATGCTTATCTATACAGATAGCAGACGAGCACTACTCACCCTGAACAGACCACGAATTTTCTCTAGAATGTCACGAAGCTTTGGCCGAAGTATCCATCAACAATGTGGTCACCTTAAGATGGATCAAAGGTCACGCCACATCGAAAGGTAAGCGTCTTGCTGATTCACTAGCCAATAAAGCAGCCAACTAAATACTTTTTGGACCTGGCCCTTCTATTGGCCTGACAAATTTAGTAGTGACAGACCTAATTAAAGAACATTCCCTTGTGAAATTCAAGGAAAGATGGGATGAAACAAGGAACTGCAGAGTTACCAGGGAGCTCTTAAGTTATCCTGGCAAACCTGCAGCAAACAAATACTATGACTAGACTGAATCTGCGCTTAGTCACAGCAGGCATTCTGACTGGTCATTGCCAAGTACGGAAGCATCTCCATATCATGGGGCTGTCAGAATCCGCACTCTGCAGAGGGTGCGAACAAGAAGATGAGACCATTGATTGCTCGACGCTCTCATTTATTAGAAGATTTGTGTTCGGTGAGTATCGGCTAACACCGGCCGATATAAGAGAAGCACCTCTTGGCGACGTTGTCAACTACATTAAATCTGTAGGATGGGTCACGAGCTAGGAGGTACCTATCATAGTGAGGCCTAAGTGCCGTGGGGGTAACCCATCCTCCACACGTTACAGATACAAATCAGGACAAGTTGGTTTTATTATTGAATATTAAATGACGCTGATTAGTGGTTTCTTGAGAAAATGAGTATTATGTCACCGAGTTAAGACAGTGCGCGTAGAACGCTAATGTGGGGGTTCGAATCCTTCCCGGCACAATTTTAATTTTTCAATAAATTTGTTTTCACTTTAAAGGTTCAAAAATAATTTTAATTTTTTCGTAGTAGATAATTTAAAAAAATATATCTCTAAATTTCCATTGTTTTCTGATCATTAACCAATAGTTTCTCGGAACTTTAAACCGATTAAATCTATAAAAACATATTTCACCCAGATTTCTTAAATAAAAGGAGTAACAAAAATTAAATCGTTATTGACTTCGTTACGAATTATACCATATTTGAGTTTTTTGTACAAAAATCAATTTGAACAAAGATATTTATAATTATTATTTTAAATCATGGTTTCAACAATTTTTATCAAGGTTAAATCATTAATATAAATTTGTAGCCGAGATCACCACGGTGGTTTGCGAAGATGAAGGAAAGTGCAATTTATTGCTCGAAAAATCCCCCAGATGTTTAAAAAGATTGATTGTCATGAGAGATGTCAGGCCAGCTACAAAACAAAAGGCTAAAAATAGGGGAGTAGAAATTATTAAGTTTTCAGACGTCGAAGTTATGGGAGCAAAAAGTAATCACCCAGAAATTGTACGTATGCTAGAAACTGTTTAATTATTCATTCATTATTGCATGATAAGTCATATTAATCAATAGTTAAAAACTAATTTTTTTTGTAATATTTTCGCCTTATAAAATGGCATCAGATTTTGTAAGCTCGTATTTAGTAACATTCTTGACTTTGGTAGGTAATTTTTATGAGATTTGAAATGTTTCCCAGATTGTTTAAAAAAAATTCTTTTAAATTTCATTTTTTCATTTTGAATTTCTATACAAATGACAATAGTTAGATCATAGAACATAACTAAACTGATATTTAAGCTATATCTAATTATGTTGCGAATGCGAACATAAGCCTGATTGGATATAATGTCTGAATACAATAGGGAATAGTTGTAGAAAAAGAATAGCATTCAAGTCGTTATTCCCTACTAGTTTATAGTTAGATTTCAACTACTTAGAGCTTGGGACACCACAGGTGTAAATAAATTAACATACAGGGATTTCATTTCAAAACTAGCCACCCAAAATAACTTTTAAAATATCTTTAAAACAAAAAAACAAAAAACACGTTAATTTATATTTACGGAGGGACACATTTTACAAGTATCTGTAATCATGCACTTTCATCCTCTAAGCGGTGGTGAATATCACTTCTAAAATTTTAAATAGAAAGGGGTTTAAGGGATTTAAAAAAATAATGTGTCAAAAGATTGGAAAAAAACAGACCTTTAAGAAGAGCTATCACATGATACCCCTTTCTATTTAAAATTTTAGAAGTGATATTCACCACCGCTTAGGGGATGAAACTGCACGGTTACAGATACTTGTAAAATGTGTCCCCCGTAAATATAAATTAACGTGTTTTTTGTTTATTTTTTGTTTTAAAGATATTTGAAAAGTTATTTTGGGTGGCTAGTTTTGAAATGAAATCCGTGTATATAAATATATAAATAGTAAATTTGGCTAATTCTAGAAATCATTTTTTTATTTTCTCATTTAGATTATTTAAATATTTTTTAGCCCCCGAAACCCACGGATCTCTCAACAATATGTTACACCAGTGGGACCACAGGTAATCCCAAGGGAGTAATGTTGACCCATGAAAATATTGTGGCCTCCATGAGTGCTGTTATGTTACAGTTCGGAGATCATAAACTGACGAGTACGGATATTTTGATTTCCTTCTTACCTTTGGCTCACATGTTAGAAAGATGTTGTGAAGTAAGTATTACTATTAAATCGTATATCGTATACTCTATTTCATCATCAGACTTAAGGATAGAATCTTTTATGAACGACGTTGACGCGATGCTATATGCCATTTAAATGTCTCTTGGAAATCTCTTTAATTGCGAAGTTGATCGTTTTTGCAGAATAATGCAAGGTATTCCAAAAATGATAAATGTTATAGTATATTACATTACGAGTTCGGTAAACTCTCTTTTGCCCAAGTGATGTACATTATTTTTTCCACAAAATAATATTTAAAAATGACAAATCAGGATATCTAGATGTAGAAGGAGTTTTAATCAAGGTTTTTATTTGCCTTGGTTTTAAATAATTTTGAAAATATTGTTCTGTAGAAATTAAAAATATTGCGATTCCATTTTCAAATACTTTCATAGAATGGTAAAGATAAATATTAGGTATAAAAATATTACAATACAAATAATGTTTTTCATTAGTTTAGTTTTTTAAATAAAACAAATATTAAAATGAACGACTGCGAACAAGTATTGTAATCGTAAATAAGTCAGCCTGCGAGATTATTTCAGATTTTCACGTTTCAGGGTCCCTAGGTTACAAAAAACATGTTTCCCCATTACGTCGGTGTGTCTGTCCTTGTCTGTCGTCGTCGTCGTCGTCGTCGTCTGTTGACGCGATAACAAGAGTAAGACTTCAAATTTTGTAAGCAGAAAAGATTCCTTTCTGTCTCAAAACCTGTTATACTTCCAGTCAGTTATATACAGGGTGAGCAGACTAAAAAAAATTATTTTTAAGAAGTGGCAGATTTAGTCTAAAATTGGTATTTGAGTACTTTAGAAGTCAAAGATAATAGATCTTAAATAAGTTTTTAAATATTTAAAATAGTGTTGAAAGGATTCGTATTTAATCAAAAAAAGTCCCCCTTGAATGGAAATAATAAAAAGCGTCCTTTAAATTTGTGTAAATGGGACATTTTAAAAGCAGACAATCATTATCCTTCAATAACGGTGAACGTGACGAAGAACACTTGACGGACGCGAAGTGGGAGGGTGGGATCAAGAGGAAGATCAACGGAGAGAGGAAGAGGTGAAAAAGGGTTTTTGTTTTGGTGGTTTTAATTTTAAATTGTTAAAATGTAAGTGTTTATTTAATTTATTTACTGTTTTGTAACTATGGGATATTTAATTGGAGTTCCCTATTTTTATAATTTCTATATTGATGGAAGTTCTGGGTAAAAATCTTTATCTTTTTTATCAAAATTAAAGATGATATAAATGCCAATAAAAACTTCCAGGCCGAATATGAAAAGGAATAGAAATATTTTAATTCTTTCAAATTAAAAAAAGGTTGTGCTAATAGTCGAAGTACATACCATTGTAAAAGCAGTATTGTTTCCAATAAAGTGAAAAAATATATGTTAGTAAGATTTTAATTGTTTGGAAAAAGCAATTTTTGGATTTAAATATATGACTATCAAATTAGTTCATATAATAAAAACTGCTTAAAAACATTTTCTACAAGATGTCCTCGGTACATTTGAAAGATCTTCCAATGACACCTGACACGGAAAGCAAATTCGTATTCATACTTTGATGAAAAGTAGATTCTTATCCACACACGTGTGATATATGGGACTTTCTATAAGACTAAACACCGCGATATTTGTCACTTTCCTATGTGGTCGTATGAAAAATTATCTTCTGACGATTATTTTTTAATTTGTCAATAGTTAAATTTTATTTTTTCGACCAATAAAAAGTTGCTACCCAATCACTGAGTTTTATACTTATTAACTGTGTCTTCGTAATTTATTTTATAAAACTGTATTTACATTGAACTACAGGCGTCGCATCCTAATTTGTCAGTCGTGGGGTAAAGTTTGCGCACTGCTGACACACCTTCAAACGATCTTACTGGCTACTATTAAAGCTCAGTAGCGTGTACTACTTTCGCTTAAAATAAATATTCTAAGATTTTTAAAACCATCAGGGTCAGACTAATGACAAAATTTTAAGAAAATTACCTAAAATTTTAGTCCTTTCTAAGAATGGCTTTCATTTGATGGTATTATAGGAAATACCAGATTACCTACACAATGGATCAAACGCAATTATTATGTAAATAGGTTTTTAACTACTACAGAATTTGTTAAAATTTATTTGTTATCTATGAGCTAAAATGTTTTCTGTAACTGTAGGAATTACAACATCATCCATTATAATTTTGCGATCTAAATATTTATCTTGGTGTTACTGATTTAAATTTAATTTCAGCTAACATTTGTACATGTGCTAATTTAAAATGAATATTCTTTATAGCTAAATTATTTTTACTACAGTCCATATAATTTCTATTGGATTTAAGTCTGGGTGGTATGGTGGTAATCTCAAAACTGTATGACCGTGTTCGGAGAATAATCTATCAAATTTGTATTGCTTGAATCTATTTTTATGCTGTTTGATTAATGTGTACAGCTGTGGTCGTAATAAGGAAGGTTGAAATTCAATATTGTTGGACCCCAATTATGTGATGATGTATGGCTACTATGTATATGTTTTATCAATATATACAATGGGACGGTTTTGAGAACGAAAATATCTAATTTTTTTAATATAATCTATTCTTTTTTCCCTGATGTCATGCCGTTCTATTAGAACCTTTCTGTTGTTTCGCGTTTTTCGCCTCTTGAATCCATTTTTTTTTAAATAGTTCTTAATGATGTGTAGCTCTCTTTCCATTCAATTTCCTTTTTTAATTTTTCACTAAGAGTTTTGACTGTTACGCGCATACCTTCTGTTTCGTGAAATCTATGAACTATATCTCTGATTGTTCCAATATTGTAGGATGGAATATCTGTTACACTTGATGTTCTTTTGCGCTTTTTTGGACTTTTAAACAATTGTTTAGGTATGGTCGACGTAGACTTTTCACCTTTTGATGTCTCACCTTCTATAATTATTCGTTCAATTGTTTTTACCGAGTATCCTGTAGCTTCAGTAACTTGTTCTTTAATTTCAGTGAGAGTTTTGGGATCATCGTTCACAACACATTGTCTATAAGTTTCAATATCATCGTTCTTTTTTTTTTTTTCAAAACTATTTGTTGTCGAGGAACATTTTTTTTTTTATAAAATATTCGAATAGATGAAATATTTGCTTGACTACCTAAATGTTTCGGCATTTTAACACAAGTAAGTCACTACTCAAACGAAAACACTACAAACAAATAAAAATAAAACTCAAAATCTACACAAACACAAATTCAAGAAAATATTATCATCTACTGATCACCCCCGACAACACGGCTATTGTTTGCATCTCTCTTTAACAGTTACAGTAGGCGTTGACAATTGAAATTCGAAGTTAACGCGCATCCCCTGTTCAGACAAATTAGGTTGCGATGCCTGTATCTATTATAAAAATATCTAAAAACTTTTATTTTCTATCAATGATGTTAAAATATACAAATCTATGACAATGATTCCCAAATTTTAAAAAGATTAATCCAAATAAAAAAGAATATTTAACTAAAAACGAATACTTTTTTTGTAGTTTTATTTTAAATCATTTAGTTAAATACTCATGTCATAACTTTTGTATGCGTCATCTAAATTAGATAATTCCATCAAAACTTTTTAAACCATACTTCTTCAGATACTTTTTTAGTTTGTGTCTCAACAATAATAATATGTTTAAATAGGAACGCAGTAACGCAAGTCATGGTTTTTAACATGGAGACTACGTTTTTAAGTTGTACGGTAAAGACGAGTAAAGGGCATATACATTGGCGGCGGAAAAACTTTTCTTTGGAGGGGGCTTGAGCCCCTCTTAAAAATGCACTCTTCCATAAAATAAAAATAATATAAAGGGTGTTTATCTATTCATAATATTTTTAAATTAAAACAAATAATTATGCATATGTGAAAAAACTTAAATGGGTATAGGTATACAGGTAAATATATAATATGTAAGTATGTACCAGGTTGATATGAAAAACATTCAAAATTTAAATTAAGACCTTTTTCTATTTTTCTTTGCAAAAATTTCCAAGACTCCTTGAGGGTCAATCTGTTTAGCCAACTCATTTTCGATGTGAATTATGGAAATCTGCGAAAATCTATCTTGAGTAGCCAGGTTTCAATTCTTCTCATAGCCGAAAAACTGTGCCCACACCCGACGGAGCTAACAGGAATAGCTATTGCAACTCGTAACAGTTTGTATAAATTGGGTTGGGCATTCGGTGTCACATATTTTTTCAAAATATAAAACTTGGTGCTGTGCTAGTCATTTTATTTGGTATTTTAATTTCTGCATCTACATCAATTTTAAAGAGTTGTGCATAATGATGAATGAAGAAAGCATTACCACCTTCAAAGGATAGATTTAATAAACTATCAATACTTTTTGCAAAGTCTAAGTCACCAAATCTTTCCACAAATTGATTTTTTACAGCATCCCTGGCCCATAAAAATACAATTACCCTCCTATGCTCTTCGACATTTGTCCCCAATATTGTTTCTTCATGACTTGCCGAACTTTCTACTAAAAAATCTGATTGAGCTTGTGAAGTTTTTTTTTAATGTTCGAACTAGTTCAAGGCATAACTCATTATTCTCTGCAAATTTTACTACTTTAGACCAAAGATTTGAAAAACTGTTCTAATCTTTTAGAAGCAAAATAGTAGATTATTATTTGACTAACCTTTCCCAACGTAGCTTTAGTATTTTGGAAAATTTTACTCAGGGGGCGAATGATGCTTAAAATGAAATGAAATACAAAAAGCGATACTAAAAACCTTTCAACAAACTTGAAAGTATTCTTATCGCTTTAACTGAGACATGCTCTTTGGCATCAGATATTTCTTGTTCTAGGCATTGTTTGATAACATTATACTTTTTAATTAGATTGTCACAGTTTTGTAAATGACAGTTCCATCTAGTCGTACTCATATTTTGAAGTTCCGTAGTTTCGAGACCAAATTTTTTTGTGAATGAGCTCAAATGTCTTATGTGCACTTGGTTTTGAGTAGCGGCAATACAAACCCTCAATCACATTAAAAAATGGGCTGCACCCGCAACAGATTTACATGTGTGTACTACTATAAAGTTTATTTTGTGTGCCATGCAGTGCATGTAAATTGCTTGAGGGTGAGACGTTTTTATTTTTGCTTGCAGTCCTGCATTTTTTTCAGCTATAACACTGGCACCATCATACGATTGAGCAACAATCGGGGCTTTAAATTTGAAGGCTTGTTGAAAACCCTTGATTAAGTTTTCTAACATTCTAACTTAGATTTTGATCATAAACATCAGATCATACTTTCCTATGAGCAGTATTTAAGTATATAGGTAAATTATTAGTTCGATCCGGCTCGAAGTACCAACATGACTACGTGAGTGAAATAATATTTTTAACTCGGACCGTTAATTACCATGTAGGCCTCTAGAATATCTCCGCCATATCATTAACGGAATTGAACAATTTTTCTCGTAAGCGTTCTGAAGAAATGTATTTTATTTTGTTACCAATGTGTGCTTAATAAGCTTATTTCTTATTACTAAATAACCTAAATAGTATGTCCAAATGTATACCTTTTAAAATAGGTACAGATAAAAAGAGGGATATTGGAAACTGAGAGAACTCTTTTTTCTGAATTTGCAAATCAAAAATAAAATCTTGTATACACACATAAACAATCAATAAATACATAAACAAACATCTATAAAAATTATATTTTTCAGACTATAACTTAAACATTTCCTTGCTATGACTTATAAATATATAATAAATCCAAACTGACAAGCCTTATGTGAATTTTTCCAAGGCCTACTTTAGAAACATATTTGTGGTGTACTTCATATTATTTCGTCGATACCCTAAGAATAATGGCAAACAAAGGAAATAAAATTTTAACTTTTAATACCTTGTATTTCCTAAACCTTCAATGTTAGGATGAGACTCGACACGCAGTATCTCCAGTTAGCAGATTTCACATTGTTAATGAAATATGCTGTACTGATCGATTTAAAAAAAATGCTTACCATTTTTAATATACCCATACACTTTTTTTAACTATTTTCATTGTTACTAGTACTTTGCTATAAATACTGAAATAAGAAATCACATTTATTTAATAACTATCTAGCCCTGTACCAATTGACATGACTATATCTACCAGATTCAACAACATAGTACCATATAGTAAGAAATGGATCTTGAGACTATGTATTTAATTCTGATGGTGGAATGGAGTATAGGTAAAAATTAAAGTGTTTAATACACGTATAATGTTCTGTCCGACATTTTGTTTAATTACTTGGATATTCTACTATTACAATAATATCCAATATCAACAATATCTTATTGAATCAGTTCGTAATTTTATGTTTCTTTTAGAATGCAATGTACTGCGTAGGAGGGGCTGTAGGATTCTATTTAGGAGACATTCGAAGGCTCTCAGATGACATGAAAGCCTTAAAACCTACTGTAACCCCTGCAGTTCCTAGACTACTCAACAGGATATATGACAAAGTTCAAGCCGATATTAATGGTAGCTGTCTTAAGAAAACAATTTTCAATATGGCTCTAAGTGCTAAAGAAAAAGATCTTAAAAGGTTATTTAACATATTTCTTTTTAATACTAATTTCGAGTAAATGAATTATACTATAATCTATTTGTAAATCTATATCGGTACTGAACTTTCATCCATTATAACCTTACCAAGTTACGTCTCATCCTGAACACATAGGTAATCCTTTAAAAATTCACGTCAACAAACTACCACTATACTTTCGTTAGGAACGTACATAGCAGGGGCGGGGCACAGCTAGAATTACCAAAAAAATAATAAATGTTAATAAATAAAAGCGACAATTGGAATGATCTAAGATAGACTAAGATACATGTGGGTTACTGTATGAGCAAGAACGAATATTAACGGGGATCCTTGTCGGGGATTGCCGACTCAAAGGACACCCTTGTAAATTTGTACCAGAAGAGGATAGCGAGAGTGCATATTCTGTGATGAGGAGAAGGACAACACCTCCATTCACAGACTGCAAAGGCCGCTATATTTGCGATCATAACAGATAAAAGAGGGTGAGTTTCCTAGCTTGGAGTCTTTCCAAATCCTTATCTTCCTTGGGAAGAGGGGATTTGAAGGGTCATTCTAGGAAACGAGACACTTCCCTTGCCATCTTAACGACAGAAAGGGACTCAATCATAGCTTTGAACTGAAATATAATTTACGATTGCGGTTTGGTCACGGTTCATATCAGCAAATTGGTTACGATTCGAATTTTAGTTTCGATTGTTGTTCTAATTCGGTTCAAACCGATCTAGTATATATTCTCTATGATCAGTAAAACAGTGTCCATATCTATATAATATAATGGATTGCTACGGTTGTCACCGCTTATCCGTTCCCAGCTTCCACATTTTTCTATCATGACATAAATCCTTGTTCAAGTCCCTTCTTGTAGCTTCATCACCATCTCTAACGCATGTATTATACATCCCAATCATCAATAAGTTGCCTAGTCTGCTTCTCAAGTGTTAAAATTCTCTTATAAGGGGATAAATTAGGGAGAGTAATATTTTATCTTATCAGCCCTTTTCTAATAGTACTATTTTTATTCATTACTATTAATTGTGCTGCTGTTTCCATTTCTTATTCCTTTTAGTCGTGCCTATTTTCAGTTTCTTCTCAAGAAATTAATCTCGGTTGTTAACAATTTAGCCAGAAAGATACCTTTCTCCTTCTGCTTCTTACATTCACAAAAGTTTTTCACCATCATCAACACGTCGTCTTGGCATCCTCCTTGCTGATGCCACCTTATGGGACTGGAGGACGTCATGCAAAATGTGATGACTCCTATTCAAAACTTCATTAAATATAACGCGGTAATTATTATATTTCACCAATGCCACAACTGCTTAAATTGATTTAAGCGTCACCACGCGGTTTGATTATAAAGGTCGGGTGAATCAGCTCCAAAAATCTCCACGATTTTGAACGTTTTCCTTCATTCATGCACTTGCTGGAGAGACAATATTGTAATATCATTCTATTGCACTCAAAACGAAATAATGTGCAGCGGCCCGGCTGCGTATTGGCATTGTTTACTATGCTGCAACGCATAAATATTGTTGCAACGCAGTAAAGAATGACTGAACAGTCGCCTCTTTATACCCAGACAAATCTTACTGCGACTCAGCACTGGCAAGTGTTCAGACGTAGTAACTATTGTATTATGGATACGCTGCTATTCTCGAGGCATTGTTTACCGCATTCCAACTCAACATCGAGCAAAGCGCATTCAAGCTGGGAGCCCATCCAAGAAGGAGATACCAAACAAACCAAAAAAAATATTGATCTTAATAGACCAAATGCGAAATCACATGGATATGCCCACTTAGATTAAACTTCGTATGCTTACCATTTTATAATAGTTTTTTTTTTTTAATAAATATAAATGTAATATGACTAGTGGATTTTGTATTTATTGTGCACTTTGTATTTTAGTGAGGTTAATAAACTATTTTTGACGATAGTATATTATTATTATTATTATTATGCTATTTTTATGATATAGTCCTACAAAATCACAAAAGAAAGCAAATTTGCGTGGTTTCGCCTGTAACGCGGTAAACAATGCCTCGAGAATAGCAGCGTATCCATAATACAATAGTTACTACGTCTGAACACCTGCCAGTGCTGAGTCGCAGTAAGATTTGTCTGGGTATAAAGAGACGACTGTTCAGTTATTCTTTACTGCGTTACAACAATATGTATGCGTTGCAGCATAGTAAACAATGCCAATACGCGGCCCGGCTTAGCAGGTTCACTTATTGGTCAGTTAACAGCTGGATCAATGACCATTTCAATGAAAATCGGTGTACGTCTGAACAAACTGCTCGCTTAGTTGCATACCACAGAGGGCAGGCGTTATATCAATGAGTATGACGTGTAGCGTAAGGTGTGCTATCTTTTCGGAGATGTAAAGCCGTTGGCTAGGAGTCCATAGATGTTGGGCTCGTTAAAAATCCTTACCTCTGGTTGGAACACCTGGGGATTTGGCTAAAATTCTGGTAATTGGGTGCTCACCAACGTCGGTGTTTAAACCTCGTAGTTAGAAATAATAGAGATCTTCCTTTGAAATTATCTAGAGGAGTTGCCATTTTTATACTAAAGCTTTGTTGACAGTGTCCAATTTTCTTGAACAAGCACTATTTAAATGACATAGGTATATTATAATATATCAAACATTTTTACAGGATAGAAGAATCTTTTTTTTTAATAAATTTCACTCATATTATTAAATTTTAATGAAAATTATGAATATATTTTACATTTTTAGAGGAATAGTAAGAAAAAACACCTTCTGGGATATGCTAGTATTTAAAAAGGTCCAAGAAGGTATGGGAGGCAATTTAAGATTAATGTTAGTGGGATCAGCACCTCTAGCAGAAAACGTCTTGACATTTGTAAGATGTGCTTTAGGATGTTTGGTAAGTATATTATTTTATACAGTTAGCATTCATCTAGTCAGATAAATCAAAACGCTAAACATATGAGACAGAAAGGCAAGTGTACGACGCAATCGTTATCTTCTCAATTTTTACCTAATTTAAAAAATCGTTTTATGCAACTCTTGTTTTTTATAAATATTTTTTAGTTGAATTTTTTATTTACTTTTCAGGTTGTAGAAGGTTACGGCCAAACGGAATGTACAGCTCCCATTACATTGACCATCCAAGGGGACCACACTCCGGGTCATGTAGGTCCACCAGTAGCTTGTTGCTGCGTCAAACTTGTGGACGTTCCTGAAATGGAGTATTGGTCCAGGAAGAATCAAGGGGAAGTAGTCGTCAAAGGGACAAACGTCTTCCAAGGATACTACAAGGATCCAGAAAAGACGGAAGAAGTGATAGACGATTTGGGTTGGCATCATACGGGAGATATTGGAATGTGGTTACCAGTAAGTCTGCAGTAAAATATTAGGAGTTTAATGAACTAAAAACCGGTTCTAAATTTTCTTGGCATTTATAAAAATTATAAAATATAATTCTAATGATTAAACTTTTTATTTCAGAATGGAACCTTAAAAATAATTGACAGGAGAAAGCATATCTTCAAATTGTCACAGGGCGAGTATATAGTCCCAGAAAAAATAGAAAATATTTATATTCGTTCACAATATGTTAGTCAAGTTTTCATTTATGGGGAATCCTTAAAAGTAAGTATCTAAAAATTTATAATAATCTAAAAAAATATATTCTTGTTAATAAACCGTTGGATGTTAAATATATCGATGGCCATAGATAATTACTGTATTTTTAAATTGCAATGTTCTTGTACAGCGGTAAGGTTATTCTTGATTATTAAGATCCGACCGCAAAAATCAAAGCCTAAAGGCTGAATTAAAAAAAAAAAAAAAATATAAAGATTATTAATTGCTAAACACCAGACCACCATGGTTTGCTCTGGTTTTATGCAGACGTCAAGTTATTGTTCAAAAGAAGAATGTCAACTTTAATTTGTCATCAATTACGTCAAAATACATTACAATTTGTAATGTACCCCTGGGATGTTTACCAAACATTTTATCTTCCATAAGAGGTGCTGATTTAGCTAATCTGACTGTGCCAAACTGCCAAATGCATATTGTCCTTTCTATTTTAAAAATGAGAGTAAATTGGCATTTGAAAATAGGAACTTCTGCCACAGGAAGTCCTTGCTGTAAAAGATTAACCCAAATATAAAAACTGGCCATTTACATATCTACTAAACTAAAACAAAAATACATCTTATCCACTATCAAAATGTAAAATGAACGTGTTCCTCTATATGCCATATGGCAACACCCAATGTTACTCGACTCTACAGGATTATGTGGTTAATTTGGGATTTATAAAACAATAAACAAAATTAACAATACACATTGCTATAAAAGCATCATTCAATTAAACTGTTCCTTACTGTAAATAAAAAATTACTAATCTGGAACGAGCGTGAATATTTTCGCCCTTTTGATTTTAAGAAAAAAACAGTCAAACACCTCTTGTTTTAAACCGCCAAGCGCTGATAGTTCTCCTTTTACAGATCGTTTTATTTTAATGCAAAATTACATCAAGGCAACAACTGGCAACATGTAACATCCTACAGTTTGTGTGAATGTTGCCGGTCGCAAAACCAGGCTGAGGCGACTTAGTAGCATGAGAGACCAATTATACCAACCCAATTAACTGTTAAGTGTAATACCTGCATTTAAAATGGCGGATGCAATTAATGCAGCTACAACATATGTCTCGTTTTGTTTTGACCTAACAAGTAATTGATTGACCGGCAACAGGTCACAACAAGCGATTTTTATAGCATGGTCGTATGCATAATGTTAAACATTATGAAACTGGTTTCGAAAAATTCATTATATTACTAGTTGCAAAAATAAATATAAACCTTTAGAGTCTCTGCCTGCGGATCCAAGTGTCCCAGGTTCGAATCCCACCGTTGTCCGTAATTTTTTCATTTAATTGAATTATTTAAAATTAATTCTGATGCCTTGGTAGGATTCTCCACCCGACCATTCACTGTTGGGTTCACAGTGCTGTTCCTAAAGTGGCGCTGGGAAACAGTAACAAAGCCTACACAGGACACGAGGCGAAATAACCTTAGCAGTTGAAGCCGATGACACAAAAAAAACCTTTTTTGGTTTTAAAATCAATAATATAAGTACATTATTATTGAAAGTATATATCAAAGAAGGGCAGATTGAAATATAAAAATAGAATTTGGTTAAACTTACAACCTAATAATAATGTTGTCTTGGTCCTTATTTTCCATTCTAAATCGGCACAAAATAAGTAAAACAAAATATACGACAAAATAACTCACTTCCTTGAAATCTAAATAACCCTAACAAACAATATAAACACTACAACAAGTCGTTGAGACTAAATTAATATTATTTTATATTTTGTCAATAAAAGAATGAAGTTAACTATTGTGACAGGCTTCTGGTTCACCTACAGTGAATCAGCGAATCTGTGTGGCGCTATGAAGGTGATTCCCGAATAGGGGTTGCTCAGGCGCCAGTTTTGGTATCGCAGTTTGCTCTGCGACCCTGTGGTACACCACAGTGTACTCAAGTTGAACTCAGTGGAGGTAAAAAATTATTCCAGGCGGTCACTGCTAGGTAGCCACTATACTAGAATAAATAAAAAATAAAAGACTTATCTCCTTTACACCTCGTACCCTACGGTACCCTGAAAGAGAACGGTTAAGAACCAGTAATAAGAGAAACACAGGAATAAGTAATAAAATATATATTTACAAAAAAAAATAATACAACGTTAATTAAATATGAACGGCTCCCTATATGCGGAAAACTTATTAAAAATAAATTATTACCAATGAAAACTAATTAAATATTAACGCCTCCCTATATGCGGAAAATTTATTAAAAATAAATTATTAACAATGAAAACTAATTAAATATTAACGGTTTAAAGTCTCTCTCATGTAGACATCTGGTAGTCCATAGCTTCTAAAAGAGAGAAACCATTTATCGGAAAATTTATGAAAATAAATTATTACAATTGGACATTAATTAAATATTGACGAATCCCTATATTCGGAAAATTTATGAAAAATAAATGATTGCAATTGAAAATTATTTATTAAAAATAAAGTTTGCTGTTATCACCATTAACCCACGTTCAATTTACGTTCAGGAAAGGAAAACCTCCTATACAATGAAACCAAGTTGTCGGAACCCCCTCGTAACTTAACTCTGAGCGATGGGAAGCGAAACTTTTCGTCTGGTGATAAATATGGTTATTTACGCGATGTTTTGGACGGCGGACACGACGATCGTAGAAAATAATATTTTGAATTTTGCTCAGAGTCGATCGAGAGCCTGTGTGAATTTAATTTTACAGAAGTCGTCTGGCTTCATTCAATAACTAATTGTGGACGGGGAACGGAATGATTCAAATACAATTGAATGAATAAATAAAAGAAAAGAGAAACTTATATGAAAAATACTGGGTGCTTCCTATAAAAAAAAATTGCCAACGGTTTCCCACTAAGGGATGAAATGAAAAATGCTGGGCGTGAATCAAAATTATTTCACTTGTCGGACAGGTGTCCCAAACTCATTGTAAATAAAAAAAAATAATATGCGGTTTCCTACCTTTAGAAAAATAAACGGGGTTGTTTAATATTCTTTTTCAAAATCACGGCACTCACGGAGTATTTACTAGGCACTATAGAAGGGCGAATAGTTTTCGACTGTCGGCAATCAAGAGAGGGTAATTCCCAGATGTCATCGAATTTATGCTTTTTCGCTGGGCAAGATGGAAGACCAGTAAGCCCGAGTGGGGGATACCACCACTACAGCCGACTGTTTACAATTTAGAAATATAAAAAATGTCCTTCTGGTACCTTGACAAATAAAAGTAGATAATCGGTACGAAATCGACTCTACAAATCGCCCATTCGGATTTCGGCAAATATAGGAATATTTTAATCTACGAGGGTGCTAGCAATTGTTGAAAAACTGCAATTTCTGGGAAACAGAAATACGGGGGAACTTCTACATGTCCTCAGGCGGGAATTAATTGAAATAAACATTTTTTTTAATTAATTGAGAGCAAAATTTAGTGACTTCGTCACACTATATGCAACTAACATTACATAAAAGTAGTTATATTGGTTGACTAGATATCGGTAAATTTTTATCAAAACAAAATTATATAAATAATTTCTGCTTGTCCCGCAAATATTTTCTCGTTACATAAAATAGGTTATTTATTGTTTCGGCCTTTACTTGATAAAAATCCATTTAATTTTGAAAGAGTAAAACCAAATTTGGTAGATTTTCACACTTTTATTTTAAAAATAAAAATGTGAAATCTACCAAATTTGGTTTTACTCTTTCAAAAACATAAAATAGGGCATTTCGCAACTGGTTTCATAAATAGTTAATAAACTTTGACCAAATATATTTCTCAGCGTTACTAGAGCCGTTTCCAATTTTCATTTGGGTCTTAGGTTTTATATTTCATTTAAGTTGCTTGGTCAATCGATGAGAAAAACAAAATAAATATAAAATAAACTCGAATGCAAATGACAATATTCCGTACTTCTACGAGAATCAACTCACAAATGTAAACGCTGGACAAAGATTAGATAATTTTAACAAATGACACGAGGTCAAATTTGAAAAAATAAATAAAATATTTTAAAAATAAAAATTCATTACCAACAAACTGTACGTCAACATGATTTTAAAGACGTCGGAAATTTATTTAAAAAAAAAATGAGAAAATAAATATATCTAAAAGTTAGAAAAGAAAGTTTACCAACACTTTTGATATAAAAAAACAAAATATTTTTTAACAAAATTATATTCTTTTCAGTCTTGTATAGTAGGAATCGTAGTACCTGATGTAGATGTTATCAAATGTTGGGCCCACGAAAATGGTATACCAGGCACTTTGAGTGTTCTTTGCGCCAACTCAGAAGTCAAACAGCTCATTCTAGATGACATGGTAATGTGGGGCAAAGAAGCAGGACTTAAATCCTTTGAACAGGTCAGTTTTTAAAAATAAATGAAGTGATAAACATCGTAAAATTATTAGCTTTATCGATTATTGTTTTTATTTTTTATTTTTATCTAATTGAGAAGTTTGAATCCGTTATAATTTTTGTAAATATTTTCAAAATTTTATACTGGTTCTAATATGAATTGAATAAATTGCACTTTTAACTAAATTATAGGGTTCGTTAAAAATTTGTTCTGCGGCAACGTCAAATTATAAAGAGAAGGGAAACATAATTTGAATATCAATTCCCGTATTTAGTAGACATAGAGTAGAATAAACCGAGTAATGAATTTCAGCAGCTAAGAAATAAACAGTATAGGTCAGCCTGGGGCTCCGCGAAGAAAAAAAAAGCAGTACCTATCGCTACAACGGTACTCGGCTTTATTGAGGATCTTTCAATTTTTTTTGTTGTAAGGAGCATGGGCTGCCTCATTTGAAAGAAGGAGAACAGCTGCTAATTTAAGTAAGGATGGTTTGCATCGTATGTTTATCTGAGGCGGGAGCATACGTTTTATGAATGAATCAGTATTTATGTCTACTACACTAAAGCTTTACACTGCTATCACATTTTAAAATTAAAAGAGTAATTTTCTGCAGAACACTGTACAACCATATAATAGTTGCAACGAGAAAAATACATTAAACTGATAATAACTGAAATTAAGAATATACAAATACTTCCCTAATGTAATTTTTAAAGCCTTTTGTGCGCTTAGAGTCTTACGTCAATACCGAATTAGAACCATAAACAATCTTTGTAACAAGACTCTCTCTCATAATAATTTAACAACTACGTGGAAGACACCATGAATGTTTGCAATTCAATTTTTGTAAACAAAATTAGTTTAGTAAGTACTTGTTCGTTGTTGAATGGCACCATTAAGCATCTGTAAACCACACAGGATCGAGCGCCACGTTAAATAATAATAGCTATCCCTTCTCCTCACAAGCTCAGTCGACTTAGGGTTAAAATTAACTTGTAAGGGGGTGAATTAAAGGAAGAGCAAAAGAGTTATTATTAAGACAGTAACATTAATTTTAATTTAAATTAATTTGGTTTTCGTTATTAATTTTATTCGCTTTTCCTTACTTTCTTGCAAAAACCAACATGAAGATGCAATGTTTAGAAAATAAAAATATAATACGGAGGAGAATTTGGTTCGCCTGTTCGTATCGGGTGATTGAAAGCAAATCGGACCGTAAGGTTTCTGTCAACATATATTCAATTTATATTAGAAAAAGTATACCATATTGTAACGTTTGTTTAATTAATTTATTTATTTATTTATTTAAAACACTTTATTTATAATTTATTTATAAAGTACTAATTAATGTATACAGGGTGTACCAATAAAAACTCCCAGGCCGGATATTTTGGTAAGTAACAGAGATATTTTAATTCTGTAAAAGCTAGTTCACAGAGCACTAAGAGAGCTTCAGTTTTAGATATAAATTGATTTTAAATAGGTCAATATGTAGATGGCGCTGCGCTCAATAATTGTTTTTCGATGGGAGGATCTTTCTTGTGTAGCGCATCTTGTAAAAAATGCATTTTTAAGCAGATTTTGTTTTATGAACTAATTCGATATATTTCGCCATTTTTGATATACAGAGTGGGTCACTTAAAACAGTTTCATCCTGTTTTTCAGCATTAATCATTGTATTTTAAAAAAATACTAAAACAGGTCGATTTTTATTCCAAATTAAAAACATTTTTACAATACAGACATCTGTCATGTGTCAACCCCCTTCCTTGTACTTCTCCACACCTTAATTTTAAATAGGTAATGTACCATATATGGCACATCATTAAAAAGGTAATTTAATGGGAGATTCAGAAATATTTCTGTACATTACGTTACTTAAATTTTAATGTGTAGTACATCAATAAAAAGGTAATTTTATGGGGAATTTGGAAATATGACTGTTCGTTGTGATACTTTTAATTGTACCGCCCTCTATCGGGATAAAAAACTACGAATTTTAAAGTGTGACATCTTATTTGAAAGCAAATTTAATTACTAATTCAATGTACCACATAACATTAATAACATAATAATAATATAAATATCCATATTGCACTTGCAATAGTTTGAAAATTAGTCATGCATTATTTTAAACATTATTGCTTTTATATTTATATTAGTGTTATGTGGTGCATTAAATTAGTAATTAAGTTAGCTTTCAAATGAAGTGTTACACTTTATAATACGTTACAGATTTTTTATCCTGATAGAGGGCGCTAAAATTAAAATTATCGCAATAAACTTTATATTTCTGACTTCCCCATAAAATTAACTTTTTAATGATGTGCCGTACATGGTACATTCCTTATTTAAAATTAAGGGGTTGGAGAAGTGGAAGGGAGGGGGTTGACACGTGACAGAAGTCTGTATTGTAAAAATGTGTATAATTTGGAATTAAAATCGACCTGTTTTAGCATTTTCTAAAAATCCAATGATTAATGCCGAAAAACAGGATGAAACTGTTTTGAGTGACCCACTCTGTATATCAAAAATAGCTAGATTTATCGAATTAGTTCATAGAACAAAATTTGCTTAAAAATGCATTTTTTACAAGATGCGCTACATAAGGAAGGTCCTCCCATCGAAAAAAATTATTGAGCGCAGCACCATCTACATATTGACCTATTTAAAATAAATTTATATCTAAAACTGAAGCTCTCTTAGCGTTCTATGAACTGGCTTTTACAGAAATAAAATATCTCTATTACTTACCAAAATATCCGGCCTGGGAGTTTTTATTGGTACACCCTGTATACCACTTAGGCACTATTACAACTCACAATTCTAATTTATTTATTACAATTTATCTTTTCTGTCCAACACTTAAATTCAATCTTCCCGACCGTCGACAACTCACGCTATTTATATAAAGCCAACTCTGTACTAGTAGTTTCTAAACTATCTCGAATGTCCGACAATTCCATCTCTATGATTCAGCGGCCACGTACCGCTTTTACTGGTAGATTCTCGAAGCATTGTGTTTATCTCTATATTGCCAGCGCTAGACTTCATACCGCGGGCAAGGAGTAAACAAAGCACAGGGTTGGCTTGCGCGATAATATGCTGCAGTGTTTGATAAATTTGTTTGCTAAAAATATGTATTGTCAACAGGTTAAGGACATCTATCTTCACCCAGACAACTTCAGCATTCAAAATGGCTTACTAACTCCCACCATGAAGACAAAACGTCCACAGTTGAAAGCTTATTTCAAACCACAGCTAGATGATATGTACAGTAGACTCACTTAGGTTATTTTTTAAACTTTTTTCAAATTACTTTTAAGAAAAATTCATAGATATAGCAAGTACATAAAGCACGGTAATTTCCAGGACTATTAAAATTATATAGCGTCGCATGCTTTTGGTAAAAAAACTACTATCCAAGAGGATAAATCGTACATCTATTGTTTCAACATTTTAAAAGTGTTCTTCAAAATTGTAAAAAGGAAGTATGAATATTAACATATAAGTCAAATTCGACTGTAATTACATTATTAACTAATCGAAAAATATACAACTAATTTGCAGGAACACAAAAAAGATGTGAAATTATTCTCTTGGCCTCTTTGAGTATAGGCGAAGCAATAACACAGATACAGTCAATCCTAATAAATTTAATATTGCCAACCGGCTGTGGTTTGTGCAACAAAACTTTATATTTTTTAAAGGTGTCGAAGATCTAGAAACTGGGAAGAAGTAATTTTATAAATCTGTGGCTTGGTTCTAAATTCTAAAATAAACTAGCGCTTCACATGTATACGGAAAAAACACACTTGGAACTAGTAATATTTGCATCAGTGCTATTAATTCGCTTTATAATGTTAAGTCACTCGTAATAGTTTTGATAAAAACTTTAAACGCTCTTTACTTAAATTGTAGAATTCTGAGATTGGCACTTTTAGAACCAAGCCACAGGATTATAAATTGAATAGGTTTATAATAATTATTGACAACTTCAATAGGTATATTCATGATTTTATCATACTTTATATACAACACTTGTATACAATTTGGCCGCATTTTGTTTTTAATTATTGTGAACATTTTGTAATTATATACTGATAGAAATTTTTAATAAATCAACATGTAGAGTCGGTAAAACTATGAAATAAAAATTAGATTAACTGTTTAAATGTTCATTTATTTATTTTTTGGTTTAATAAAGTAACAACAGCAGGTATTACTTCTAAACAATATCAATTTACAAAAAAAATAGCTAATAGCGGGTGACACAAGGACCTTGATTGATGAATTCACTTTTATAGGTTTTTAAAGAAATGAATATCTTGAGTAGGTAGGTAAATGTTATACTGTCGTCATGTATTAGTGCATTCAGATTGATGATAAAGCCAAACTCAGACGACTGGTATACTTGGTTAATATTTTTTATTAATCGCGTGTTGTGTGAGTAGTTTATTTGTACCCGGTATCTAAATAAGAAAGGGCGCCGGCCATATCTAAGGAACTATTATCGCACAGGTGAGAGAATTTTGTTCTTAAAAAGAATGGTTTCTAGAAATCGCTGCAGATTATTTTCCAATTACTAAATTACTAACTTCGCCGCTAGAGGCGTAATGATCATGGTCATATATAGAAACTGGTTTTTATCAAAAAAATGCCAAATTAAATCATATCAAATAATGAAAATCGCAATGCATGCGAAATTTTACTCAATTTTGACTTGTTTATCTGTTCATTATTAGTAATAAGAATTACCTGCGTCAGCTAGTAAATATAAAATAATGTCTAGCGGTTCCTTATGACCACTTTTACATTTAAAATGTTTTTCTTAAAATTCTATGATGCATAGTTTCTGAGATAGAAGCTATATTCTACAGCCACAAATATCCGGCATCATTTCTTATTTGAACACCCGATACAAATCCTATCTCACTGGTGAGATTTCCATCGTCTGTCAATAAAAGTGGTACCTGTCAAAGAGAGATTTTGACACAAGTGTATACCGCCATATAGAAATCGGTGGAAATTATTTTCAAGTTCCTAACTTCGCCACTGAGGGACGTAATGCTAATGGCAAATAATGCCAAATTAAGTTATGTCCAAAATATAAAAATCGTAATATGTACAAAAACTTTTTTAGGGAGAATCTCTCATAAATTTCTAATTGAACCCAATCAAAATAGAATATAAACGTATATGGGATTTGAATCCGATCCAAGAAATGTAATAAATACTGTAACATAAACGAAATAAAAGTTTTCTTGGCTTTCAGCTAAAAGACAAGGCCAATAACGGGAAGAAAAAATAATTAAGTTTTGTTAGTTTATATCTTTTTATGTTTGTTATTTTCAATATATTTTTGTTTTACCATAAGTCATGGATCAAACGAAGTGAGGTGATGAAAGAGGTTATTTGCCATTAGAGTAATATAAGGTGTTTTCAGATTATTGGTGGTTTCAAAGTTATTTGTTATCTTCTATTTTTACCTTAAACTGCTTAATGTCTTAACAAAAAGCTTGGGAAAAATTGTGAATTGTTTAACTAATCTTTTTTTTAGTGTACACTTCAAAATGTTCTAAGAAAACAGTACCTCGGAGGTAAACTGTACTCAACTTTTCAGTAGAGTAGATTGAATGTTGTTTTCCTGTCTGTACAAGAATAAAGAAAGTCGGAATCATTATTTTTTCTACATCTAGTTTTCGATGGATTTTTACTTTTTGGGGTTCCCTGAATCCGTTTTGACTATTTTCGCGATGATGTCTTTGTGTTTGTATACTCGATAAATTTTCATAGGGGGTAATTTTTCTACTTTTTGGAATATATCTGTTATTTACGCTTAGAGAAGAAAATTCGTCAAATAAAAGTTGCTTGTGATGTAATTTTCTATAATTTTTGTAATTTCCTTTAAATGATCCGTATTCGAGAAATTTGACAAAAAGTGCAAAATTCGAATTTTTAAGAAAGTTGTCCTATAATTTTTGTCCTATTCGCTCCGTGCGCGACAGCAGCGCCAATTGTTTTGATACTAATGGACTATTTCTGCATACACTGACAAATGCAACTTTTAATAGAATTCGTAATTAAAAAGTATATATGGTAGTTTTAATAAAAGTATATGGATTTGTAAAACAAGTAAAACATTAATTTATTATTATTATATAATTTTATCGCTTAAATTAAAGAAAATTATGTATAATCGATAAAAATGAATAATAAAATATAGGCAGGCAACAGTATTTACTGGAAATTGTTTGAGAAGTTGCCTAAGTCTAATAAGTTTTCATTGAAGAATTACTCTAATCTGTCAAAATAAATAAATTCCATTTAATAATAACGTGAAGTTAAAATGTATAAAAAAAGGATCATTACTTATATTTTCATTTTTGTTCGAAAGAAAACATAGAATGAATGATTAAAACTGATTTCCCATCAGTAAGTTACAAAATTGCGGGTCCAACTACATATAATCAAAGGCAGAAATCTTGAAATCTAGTCCTTGCTGAATGAACATTTAAGAATAAGGGATATTAAAGAACATGGTAAAATGATAATTTATTGTTGATTTAAAACCTTTCAAGTTTCTGATGTCTACTATTTGCAGCATTACGGTTATTATTACAAAAATAAAGGTAATTTTTCTTCTTATTGTATATCTATCCATTTATTTCTTTGATTTAATTTCCACTTTGCTACTGAAATTTTTTATATAAGTTTCACTGTTTTTTTTTTGCTAGTATTTGTTCAATTTTCAACACAGCAACTCCGGTTGCTTAATGTATTGTTTTTACCTACTTTTTTTTGAAAAAAGTAAAATGTATACGTGTATTTGATATGCCAAAATTTCAAAATATCCCCCTAAAATGCACGAATTATCCGCAGCTAGCGCTAGTATCGCTTTTGCTTCCCTTTCCATGACTTCGCACGGAGCGAATACATGATTTCACTAAAATGAACCGTATTCGAGATATTTAAGGAAAAGTGCAAATTTATAATTTTGAAGATATCACAGAAACGGATAAAGAGATAAAAACTCCAAATTTTAAACTTAAGCTTTAATCCATCCAGCGATGAGCTAAGTCGTTTTTTTATTTTAAGGCATATCTGTTATTTACGATTGGAGAAAAACATTTTTCAAATAAAAGTTGTTTGTGATATCATTCTCTATAATTTTTGTTTCCTACATGATTTCTCTAAAATTTACCGTAATGGAAAAAATTGAGGAAAAGCGTAAAATTTAAATTTTTCAGTATTTTCGAAAAATGTTTCGAGTATGATGTGTGTAGAAATTGTATGTATTTAGATCATTCTCTAAACATTTACAGGAATGATACAATAGGTTGTACAGAATAACCGGAAAATGCCTATAATGACAGACAGGAAAGTCGGATGTGTTGGACATTTGGACAGATTTTTGTAGTTTCTAACAAGGTTATACCTTAGTATGAACAGTTTTTTTTTTTTGAAAGAATAGTGTAGTGTTTTTCTAGAAAATTTCAAATATTTTTTGAACCGTCAACAATTTTTGGATAACAACATATTGTTTTTTGATAGCAAATAACCTTCCCTGTGGCTTCACTTCGATTGATCCATGACTTATTAAACACCCTGTATAGGGTCGGAAAAACGCCTGTCTGGTCCTATAATTCTTGAGTCGATTGCAATAATATTCATTATATTTTAATGAACGTTCTTGCAACCGGCTGTTTTTCTAGAAAACCTAACGAAACATCGTGCAAAGATATTTATTTATCAATGGTATAATATTTTCATGGAGGACAGGATAATCCGATAATAAACTATATGAGTCAACTATTTCTTTTTTAAGAACTATCTTTTTTTATTTTATTTTTAGTACGTTTATTCTTATTGTTATATACCCCCAAAATAGCTTTTTCAGTTTCTAACTTTTCTTCCTCACAACTTAGCCTGTTCGAATTTATTAAAAAATAAAATGTTTGTTTAAAAATAAGCCAATACATCAATAAAAAAATTAATCATTCGGATAGACTATTCGCTTCTTGGACTACATTGATGCTCGTTTTAAGCATATCTACACCATACCACAAAGCTCTTAGAAGAAACTAGAGCTCTGTTGTCGAATTTTCTATAATGCATTGGGGAATGATGGGTTCGCTGCATGTTTGTTCCTTAACCCAGTACAGTTCAGAACTACCAAATCACATTTTTGATAACAATATTTAATATTTCTAACCTAACCATGTTTTTACGGAAAAATATACAGCTCGCCAAAATTTTTTATATCTGTTTTAATTAGAAATTGCTGACTTTTAATATAGACACCTAGATATTTTCTATATATTTTGTTTAATGATTTTTTTATTTAGCAAATTATTCTTTGAAGATTTTTTAGTTGTTTTAATTTAATCACATGTTTTTAGTTTATTTTTTTAATTTATTTTAATAAAGTCGTTGTTTTAAATTGTGTTTTATTGAAAATATAAATTTGACAACAATTCAATTTTTATTGTTTTTTGTGTTATGGCTTATGTAAGAACTATTCAATTAGCCAGTCTCAGCTGGATTTGTTTCATTTATGAACAGCACTGTTTCTATTTAACAGTGCTGTTCGTGCTTCCCAACCGTGAATAGTCGAGTGAGGAATCCTAACTCTGTGTTAATTAATTTTTAATTCATTAAATTAATTAAAAATCTCGGCACTGATGTGATTCGAACCCGGGGACCTTGGAACCGGAATTCCAGACTTAAACCACTGCACTGAGAAAATAATTAGTTACTTCTCCTAATACCTGTAATACAATATTTATAGTAAAAATAACATTAAATTTATTTTTATTGAAATTACTGCTCCAATTTTCAGCATTTCTAAAAAATAAAACTTTTGAGCTAATTATTGTTAAAAAAATTATACTTACCATATACACATATTTGAAAAAATATAAAAATAATTGGCAACACCCAACCTTGAAAATGATCCTACTTCGTCAAAATCTTTTGACAGGTTAGCCAAATATTGCGAAATAAAATAAGCTTTAACATCCCCTAACTAACTTTTTATCGTCAACATTTTATTATGATTCTGGCATTGCTCCATAACCAATTCTTATGTACGATGAAGATAAAATTCTCGTACAGGAAAATCAAACACTGATGAACGGTACATTGCACACATGTATGTAGGTACATTTAAAGAAAACGATATATTTGCTTTGAGAAATGTACCACTTCATGGTATTGTTATAAAGGACGAGACGACAACGATATGAATTTAGCGACCCCCGGCAGGAGAACGAGGTACACTACTATATTTTGAAGAGATCTGACTTGGAGAGAGGTCAAGTGGAAGTCTAAAAAGGCAACTCGTTGGTTCTTGTGTATGAAGAGACGCTGGGCGCATTACTCCCTTCGTTATTGTAGAATGGACTCGTCCAGCTGACGAGCGCATGACTTCATCAAGTGATGATTCTGTAATTAAATATGACAAGGCAAGACGCTGCGAATTTAAAGACAGAATATTTATTGAAATGTTGTCTACGTGACCAAGAAAATGGAAGTTATGTATTTTTTAAATGTTTGGTGCAAGTGGTTATTGAACACAGTCGGTTTAGAAAATGCTATATTTAAATTAAAGAATGTATTATGAAATTTAAACAACTAGGAACTGAGATTTAATACTAAAATGTCATACCCATTGAAATTTCATAACAAAATTTTATATTAAAATTACCTCTGTTAAAATTATACTGGTTTTATTGTAGTGTGTCCAAATCCTCCATTTATTTTTAACCGACTTCAAAAAAGGAGGAGGTTATCAATTCGTCGCGATATTTTTTTTTTATGTATGTTCTGCCATTATTCTTTAACACGGTGTCCGATTTCAATGATTCTTAATTGGGTCCATGAGAAAATCCTCAAACTCTTCATTTTTTATGTATGTTTAGCGATAATGCTTTACCACCTTCTCCGATTTATGATTCTTTTTTTGTTAGTAAGGGGGTACCTCAGGGGTGGTCCCATATAAATTTGGTTAAGATGTGGTGATGACATCTGCACGTTTTTAAAGTCGGTTTTTTTAAATTTTTAATTTCTAATACTTGTTATAGTAATCTTATAAATATTAGAAATTTATAAATATTAAATCTTCAAACACAAGAGATAAGTATAATGACAGTTTTTTGTTAATTTTAATGTCTGCTATCAGACAACAAAATTTCTTAAACTTTATTGCGTGACACTCCGAATATTGGCACTAGTATTGTCACAGCTTATGTATAAGCTGTGATATTACTCTGAATACTGGCATTAAAATTTAAACAAACATTTAAAAGATAATAATCTATAGAACGTCCAAAAATATAATAAATATAGTTAGCTTTCCTTTATTTTAAAGAACTATGTGAAATTATTGTTGTCGCGATAGCAAAATAAATTTAGTTTAATATAACAAATGAAAGAGGATATGTTTGTTTCCATACTATTATTTGGTAAGAAAATAAATAAAAAAATTGTTTTTCGTATTGACTTTGTCAATTTAAATAATCTTGAAGAGCTTTATTTCGTAATAAATCATAGAAAAAAAGATATCAAACTCATTAAAATATACCTACTTACAATTAGTTATAAGAAATTTGTATAATTTTTTTTAGATTTGTAGACACTGCTTTTTAGTATTTAAATTTAAATAACACAACTTTTTAAAAAGTAACCAGACTTTGAATGAAAACATATTTGATAACAATTATTCTATTTTCTTTCTACCCACTATTAACTTCAAAATAGTTTTAGTAATTTGTACAAAGGTTCGTAAAGGTTATTTATAAACTCTGTAGATAAGAATCAGCTTGCTCTATTACTATATATAGTTACACTATATTTTTCTAAACCATTCAAATAAAATGGTGTAAATAATTATTATTGATATATTAAAATTAAAAAATTGTTTAGTTAAAATACGTATGTTAAAAGTAGTATAAAATATGCATACATTCAAATGATTTTTTGTCAGTATGTTATTACAAATTAAAATATTGCCCTAGTAGAAAGTGTTCATTGATGTATGCAGAGAGCTTTAAATATAGTTAACGTAATTCAAGTTAAGAAATCTCGTCTTGATCAAGTTCAACTCTTTTCAAAGTGAACACAAGAACAAATCCACTTATGCAATTTTTAAAGAATGTACTGTTTAAAAAAATATAAGTTTTAACAATTCAATAATTTTTACTTATTTAAAAATACGCTATATTAAATTGCTTTAGATATAATCAATTTCTAACATGCCCACAAACTAAGGTTTTACCTTCTTCATAATAATTATATTAAAAAGCTTTTGTTATTTAATTTACTTATTCTTATTGTAAATGCAATTTAAAATAAAAACATTTAAATATCTATTTATTGCTTTAATGAAAATTAAGAGTGAAAAATACCTGTTTACTGTTTAACATTATTAAGTGAATGTCTGGTAGGTAGCCCTATAAAGTTGTTAAATACAGTACTAAAAACATGACTTAAAGGGATTAAACTTTTTGGTCTTGTGTACGTTTAGTTACTATGTAGTGCCTAGTGTATTATAGCAGAATAAAATAGTTTATGAGAGATAGCCATTATAAGTTTTTTAATTATTATTGGGATAATAGATTTTTATATAAATAAGAAGCTTCTCTTCAATGACAGGCGGCCAAATTAATTGCAAGTAAAACTAACTTAAGTTTTATAATATAACTAGTATGTATCCAAATTATTTGTATATTCAATAATAAATAGCGAATTAAAATATAAATCTGTAGGTACTAGTTTCACGAAAGAATATTACATTAAACAATCTTAATTTAACATAGTCAGTCTACAGAGTAGGTATTGAAAATCCAGAATAAATAAGAAAGAACGCAGGCCATATCTACGGAACAATTTATTAACAGCTAGAGGGCGTAATGCTGATTACCAATGATAAAAATTTGTTTAAAGTCAAATAAAGTTATGACGAACATATTAAAATTATATTCAGCACGAAATTATACTAATGTTTTCTACTTACTCGTTTATCATTGGTCATAGTATACGCATTTCACAATCTAAGTAGTCTACTTAGAAACTTGATAATAATTTCCATAGATTTCTTCTGCACATTGCTAATTTTTCCCCAAAATTCTATAACTCATATTTTCCAACAGACAACAACCGGCGTCCTTTCTTATTTGGACACCTGTTACTTTTAGAAAACAATGAATATCTGCTAAAATGGATAATTAAGAATAAAAATCGATTTGATATTAAATATTTCCCTTTAAGACTGATACGCCTATGGATATTTTCAATATGGCTAAATACAGCTGGCAAATGATGAAGAGTTGGCTACCAAGTTAGATCAACATAATCGGTTCTCTCACTCCGATTTAGAGATGGAATGATTTAGGTCTTGGCTTCACAACAAATACGCTTTTATCAATGACTAGTTGAGGATGTGTGAGAATGTATAGTTAACTTTTATTCTAGTTTAGTCAAAGAATACCTACCCAAGAAGCGAAACTAAATGGGCGATTTGTGGACAAAAAACTGCCAAGTTTTCTCAGTGTTTTAGAGGTGGTTTAACGTCAAATGTAGCTGTCATTTATGAAGAGCAACGTTTGGTATATTATTATTAGCGTTTCGTGAAAATTGCAGTATAGTAGTTGTATTTAACTAAGTAGTAATTAAAAATTTGTATTCGTAAATTTTATTGAACGTTCATGCATCTGGATGTCAATGTTTTTTTTTTAATTTCTAAATAAGTATTACCTATAATGATAATTGACGCTTACGTATTATCATCGTTTAATTTCTTAGCCTTTTATTTAAATATGTTATTTTTTTGTTTTTCAAACTATTCGAATTAAAACAGTAAATAAACAATAAAACAAAACAAAATTTAAAATATATGAAAACCTCACTTCGAGGAACCAAGTCACTGGTATCTGGATACAATCGAAATGCATTTACAGATATCTACACTACTTCTGGATATGTAACGTGTAGAAGGTGGGTGACCCCACGGCACTTAGGCCTCACTAGGTACATTGTGTATCCACCTAAAATGATAGGCACCTCCTAGCTCGTGAGCCAGCATACATATTTAATGTAGTTGATAAGGTCGCCAAGAGGTGCTTCTCGTATCGGCCGATGCGATAGCCAATACACGCCGAAAACAAATCTTCTAATAAATAAGAACGACTGGCAATCGTAGAGGATATGTTCAATGGTCTTATCTTTTTGTTCGCACCCCCTGATGGGTGCGGATTCTGACAGCCCCATGATATCGAGATGCTTCCGTACTTGGCAATGACCAGTCAGAATGCCTGTAATCAGACGCAGATTCTGTTTAGTCGTAGTCAAGTATTTGTTTGTTGTAGTGTTGTCAGGATAACTTAAAAGCTCCCTGGCAACTTAGCAGTTTCTTATTTCATCCCATCTTTCCTTTAATTTCACAAGGGAATATTGTTTAATTAGGTCTGTCACTACCGATGTTGTCAGTTTAATAGAAGGGCCAGGTCCAAAAAGTATTTGGTTGGCCGCCTTCTTGGATAATGAATCAAAAATAAGGCTACCTTTAGATGTGGCGTAACCTTTGATCCATCCATCTTAAGGTGACCAAATTGTTGGATGGATACTCTTGCCAAAGCTTCGTGGCATGTTAGTACTAACCCTGAGTAAATTCGTAGCCTGTTCAGGGTAAGTAGTGTTTATCTGCTCTCTGTATAGATGAACATGTTCCTACCAGTGATATTGTTTCTAATTATTTCTTTTGCTGCTATGAGAACCTCCGTGATCTACATTGGCACTATTGCTCACAGCCCATTTTATGTTGAGGTTTAAGGAATTGGAGTATATTCCACATCTTGAGCGTTGTTTTGTTGTAGAACCGTCGGTGTAGATATGAATCTTACCTGCCACTTCCGGATCTTCTATTTGTTTTGTTATAACTTCATACGGCTTATGGAAGATATATCTCGGTGAGATGAAGCTCATGTTCGCTTGAAGCAGTGGGAGCGTATCGAGCGCCTCCTGCCAAAAGCCACGTCTCGCCTCACCAGATCCTATATCAGGTTATATTCCAACCGTGCGGAGGCGTGTCATTGTCGTCAGAGCAACCTCCTTGATGTAAATATCAAGGGAGTGAGACTAAGAATGACTTTTATGGCTCTAGTCGGTGTTGTTTTCATGGCTCCTGTTATGTTGAGACATGCTGTTCTTTGAATTTGTTCTGTCAATTTTTGGATTTTCGGTACCCAGACACCTGCACCGTATATTAGCATAGGTCATGGCCATCTAAGTCCATGTGACGACTCTGGGGGAGAAACCCCAGGTGCGCCCTACGGTTCGGTAGAATTGTTTATAGTTTATAAGTAATGTATGCTCTTTTGAAGTGTGAGTTAACTTGTTGTCAAAGGTGCTACCTAGGTACTTCATCTCTGTTACAAAGTTGTGTTTCGTGTTTTGGAGCTCTGTAGGTTTTAATTTCATTTTTATCCTTTTCTTTGTGAAAAGGATTATTTCTGTCTTCTTGGGATTGATAGACAGTGAATGGTACTTGCACCACTGTTTCATAATTTTTCTCAAAATTCCCTATTTGCAGAATGACCAAGTCATTTGCTTTCGGTATTGTTTATTGTACCTACTGAATTATTTCGTTATTAAAATAATCTATTTGACATAAGGTTTGTTCCAACACGCGCGAAAACCGTAATATTATCGTACAAATCGTGCGCTCTACCCAAAAATTGTATAGAGCGCATGATTTGTACGGTAATATTACAGTTTTCGCACGTGTTGGAAGTTGGAACAGACCTAATATGAACATAGTAAGAATGTGTTATCTGTCATTGTTACTTTAGTATGTGTTTAATTTTAATGAACCAAACGACAAAAATTGATTAATTTTCATACGTTTCCCAGTGTATTAAGTTCCCTTGCTTTGGTACATACGAAAACTCATTCAGTTTCGCTTCTTGGGTAGGTATTCTTTGGTTTAGTGTGTATCACACATTAGTAATAGAAGGACCTAATTTTTGAAGTTTAGTTATAACTTTGTCTGCAGAGCTGATTCCGAACGTATTCTGAAGGGTAAGGTAGACCATAAACGCCTGCATAAAGATGCAGTGCAATTTTTACTTTAGCATTTGGAAACAGTACAGGATTGTTACCTTGGACGAAAGATATTGTTGTAAGGTAAGGGGATAAACCAAACTGTAATAGATCTATAATTGTAATATTAAAATTGGACTAAATTAAATAAGGATTAACTGAAATGTTATTTACTTACTTTAACCCTTTGGCTGTGACAATAGCAGTTAACCTCTTCTCTACATGAGGCCTATTGAAATGTATCGCATATGTGCCATGAACACTACATACAAAATCGAATATCACATATTATGTGACATGTACACTCAAAGGGTTAAGACATATGTTAAATTATCTCAAGTACCAGTTCAAAAAGAAGGTATTTTTGTATATAAACAACTTGTTTGGCACATAAATAATGTCATCAGACATCACTAATAAAGTGTATTATGCTGCGTTTGAATATCCACATTGGTGTGAATCTTTGATAATGTGGTTCAATATACGTAAATGTAGTAGGACAGATGTGTCTGATGTGGATAAACAAACGCTCGAGATGTAAAAAATGCAATGGATGTGGATATTCAAACGTGGCATTAGTTGGGTACACAAACTACAAGGTTACTTTAATCAAAATATATTTTATGAAATAGTCTTATAAATACTACCTAAATCGCTTTTAGAATGATGATCTGTTATTTGAAATACATTCATTAAATTAAGTACATCTTTTGTTTTATTACAATTAATCCACATTTTACCATTCACACCAACAACAATTTCATAACAAAATTTCTTGCCTAATGTTCTTAATAAAGGATTTTGAATGTCTAATAATTTGTGTGTTAATGTTAAGCTAATATTCATAAGAAATCCATCATTAGAAAGAAGCCCCAATGGACCTGCTTTGTAATAAGAGTCTATGCACACCAGCTCAGATTCCATTTCACGATGTGCATTTAATAATTTAGCATAAACTACATCTCCAACTTGAACATCGGGCTTTTGCTTCTTCGTTGCTCCTTCAAAACTTAGCATAGACAAAGCAGCATGTTCCGCACTTCCAATATCTACTTTTAGTGTATTCCCTGATTTCTTCACTACAACTCCTACTACCAGATCACCTTTTTGAGGAATGTACCTATTTCTGTTACCTTCAATCCAATAAACATTGGGCATTTTAATACAAAGTTTTCCTGGTTGAGTAACACATAAGGTATTGGGTTGATCTTCATTTTGCCGAAGACCTGGTCCTAATATGGTTACTCCTCTCAAAGACTTCACATCTTTTATAATGTGGCCTGGTAAAACAAACTCACTCTGTGACATTTTGTCATCCAATGATTATTATAATTATAAATATTTAGAATAGAATATTATTTTAAACGTGGAATGGAGTTTTAAATTTGAACAGCATAAACCACAAAAATAAACAACACCTCACTTTTTAAATTTTCTTCTATTTTAAAACAGAACAGAAATGTAAAAATGGCCACGTCAGTTCATATGTTCAGTCAATATTCAGCCCAGCCTTTTATACCTAGACATACAGCTACTCAGCCTTTACTCAAAAGTGTTTCGAGCTCGCTGCTAATACAGTGTGACCCATTTGAAAATTTTATAAAGTGTTATAGTAGGTATATTCGACAGACAAAGTTCTACCTCAAAGAACTCTCGTTAATTGATGAAATTTGATATAGAAACATGAACTCTTAAAGGGCTTAGTTAACGAGATACAGGATATTAAAAGTTTGAAATCAAAATTCAAAATTTGCCATTAAATAATAAAAGCCTTTAAATATTTTTTTCAAATTTGGTGACCGATATGCTTTTTAAGAAAATAATGTTTTGGCATAGACTAACTTTGAAAAAATTGAAACAGTGGCGTCGTGCTATCAAAGTTATATATAGTGGCAACTTTCTTCCTATTTTTTACGCCACTGGAACAAACATTTTTTTCTTAATTATTTTTTAATGTTTTTTTAATTCTTTTTATTTCTATATTTATTATAGGAATCATGAAAATTTTCAACCTCGAGTTTTCGACGGATTATTACGTTTTGGGGTCCCCTGAATCCATTTTGACTATTTTCGCGATGATGTGTGTGTTTTTTTTTTAAGAAAACTGTTAAACTAAAGAATTTAGTTTATCCTCTAAACATTTACAGAGGTGTTACAATAGGTTGTACAAAATAACCGGAAAAAGCCTGTAATAACTAGATAGGAAAGTCATGTGTTGGACACTCAGTTAAAAAAGTAATAACCTTTTATAATGAACGGGGTCACAGACATTTACTTCTAAACAAAAGTATGCATGTACTTACTTATAGATTTTTTTGTAACTGCTCACTATTTATCTAAATTCTAATCCATTAGTCAAATTTTTAATAGTTCTTTTTGTAGATCAAATTAAAAAATATATATTTAAAGTATTTTTGATTTATGGCAAATTTTGATTTGAAACTTAAGTATCAAATCAAAATTTTAACACCATGTACATCGGTAACTAAGCCGTTTAAGGGTTAATGTTCCTATATAGAAATGAATCACAATTAACGAGCGCTCTCTGGGGTAGAGCGTTGTTGGTCGAATTTACTAACACTCTGTGTATATCAATCATATTGTGATTAGAAGTCTTGGTCGAAATACAAATCAAAAAATCTGATGTGTCCAACACATGACTTTCCTGTCTGGTTATATTAGGCATTTTCCGGATGTTTTCCTATTGTTTCACCCGTGTAAATGTTTAGAGTATGAACTAAATACATACATTTTCCACATTGATCTTACTCGAAACATTTTTTTATATAATTCATTGCCAACTGAAAAATTAAAATTTTACACTTTCTGTCAAATATTTCCATTACCATCCATTTTAGAGAAATTATAGAGCAAACAACTTTTGTTTGAACAATTTTCTTAAAATTTCGAATTTTGCACTTTTTTTAAATTTCTCGAATACGGTACATTTTATGGAAATCACGTATGGAGCAAAAGTTATAGAGAATGATATCGCAAACAACTTTTATTTAAACAAATTTCTTATCCAATCTTAAATAACAGATATTCCTTAAAGTAAAAAAAACGGCATCCTATAAAGTACCGCCTCGATGCTTCGACTATACCCAAAATTTAATGAACTCATCGCAGGTTGGATTAAAGCTTAAGTTTAAAATTTAGTGTTTTTCTCTTTATCCGTTTTTAACCGACTTCAAAAAAGGAGGAGGTTATCAATTCGTCGCGATATTTTTTTTTTATGTATGTTCAGCGATTATTCTTTAACACAGTGTCCGATTTCAATGATTCTTTTTTTGTTAGAAAGGGGGTACTTCAGGGGTAGTCCCATATAAATTTGGTTACAATCTAATAATTGGATCCATGGGAAAATCCTCAAACTCTTCATTTTTTATGTATGTTTAGCGATAATGCTTTACTATCTTGTCCGATTTCAATAATTCTTTTTTTGATAGAAAGGGGGTACTTCAGGGGTAGTCCCATATAAATTTGGTTAAAATCTAATAATTGGATCCATGGGAAAATCCTCAAACTCTTCATTTTTTATGTATGTTTAGCGATAATTCTTTAACATCTTGTCCGATTTCTATGATTCTTTTTTTGTTAGTAAGAGGGTACCTCAAGGGTGGTCCCATGTAAAATTGGTTAAGATGTGGTTACGGCATCTGTACGTTTTTGAAGTCGGTTTTTTTAAATTTTTAATTTCTAGTACTTGTTGAGTTATCTTCAAAATTCTGAATTTAACCAACTTGCATTGTTTTCAAATCTTTTTTCCATTAAGTAGGTATGTGTGCATCTTGAACTTTTTTGTTACGCTTAGTGCTGAGCGAGGAAAGAGCAGCTTTAAAATCTTTCAAGCCTTCAGAGAGAGCATTTTCAACTTAAAAATTAATTTTTTTTCAAATATAATCTGAAGCCTCCGATGAAACATCATTTGTTTTGATGATTTCAATTATTTCCCCTTTTGTGGGTTTAGCCATATTGTCAAATGGCTTCTCAAAATGTGCTATTGTTAAGAATTTGATTTTTACAAAATTTCTTTGGATTTAGCAATGAAATTACCAATAAAATAGTTGATATTCAGTAAAATGCTAATTTGCCTCGATACTCAAAAAGTTGAATAAATGTTAAATAGAGCATATTAAAGCTCAATAAGAAAAAACAAAATTATTATAACTTCTTTTGTTACCTAGCCAATTTTTAATATTCTTTCGTTTTAGAAAATATCACTCACGTATTTGTAATTATTTGTGCGCTGCGACAGATTGATCCAATGCGGTTTTAATTCTTTTCCATTAGTAACCAAACGAAAAGAAGCAATAGTGGGAAGGATTATCTTAAAGTATACAGAACACACATAAGCCTCATTTTTATGAATTGAATGTGGAATCTCGGAGAATGTAAAACGAAAGAGGGTATTCAGTTGAGAAATAAAGTTTTATGACCGCTTGTCGCTAAAGATAATTTTTATCTAATTCACCTGTCACGCTTAGATTTCATTCACAAACAGTTGATAAAAACCTACAACAAGAATTTTTTCAATACACGTGAACTAATGAGTTTATTTCAGAGTAAATAACGAAGCTAGGACTATAGAAGCTTGGATCGTTTTCATAATTGTATACCAATTTTCCTTCAAAAATAAATGCACGAGATAAATATTTTATAAAAGTATACTTCAATGAACGATATAACAATATTTCTTAATTTTAATTTTGAAGCTGATTTTTGGCCAATTTTGGGTGCTTCTAGAGAATTGTGTTCTGTCGGTCGCATGTATGTACTGTGGCGGAGAAAACTGTAGCAATATATTTTGTCATTTAATTCAGAAGAGAACAACGTCTCAGGCTCTCTGAAATAAAAGCAAAGTATGTTATGTTAGGAATGCGGTGTCACTATCTTCTACTACTACAGTTTACCAAGGTGTCCTTTGAGTCGGCAATGCCCAGTAAGGATCCCTGTTACAATGTGTAGCCTGTTCTTGCTCAGGCAGAGACAGGCTTCCGATCTTTTTTGATTATATTCACTCAAAAGTATTTTAGCCTGTCTTAGTCCAAGAGATTGTTCCAATTATCGGTTCTTCTACTCCCCAATTCTTTTTTAATCTATCCTGATATTGTGTCACTGCTGATACCGCAGATCGGCTCAGGTCCCACAAAGGGTGTTTGAGTCCCTGTCCTTGCGAGACCATCTGCAATCTCGGTACCCTTTACCCAGTTATGTCCCGGAACCCAAGTGAGAGTAACTGTATTTTACTTGCCCAGCTCATTCAATTTTTTCTAGGCATCTCCGGACCATTTTTGAGTTGATTACGTAAGAGCTCAGCGCTTTGATGGCTGCTTGGCTGACGAACATGATGATAATCTCTTGTCGACGATAGTTTCTCTCGATGTTAAACTGGATACACTTCTCAATGGCGTGAAATTCCACCTGAAAGATGCTTGGGTATTTTTCCAAACTTTCAGAGTGCCTGGTTCTAGGCCCATACATGTCTGTGTGTGCGTGCGTGTGCGTGTGCGTGCGTATTCTCTATAATTTTTGTCATATCATTTGTTATATAAATTTTCATTTGTTAAAATTTTTGTAAAATGACTCGTACTGGAGAAAATTGACAAAAAGTAACAAATTCAAATTTTTAAAAAAAGTGTTCCAATAAAAGTTGTTTGTGATCTCATCAGCGGTTGAGTGCCAACTGAGCGCGTCTCCGGGTGGTGGATAGGAGAACTGCCAAGTTTGCCTTGGTTAGTGGTAGACATAAGTAGAGTGCGAGAGCCTAAAAATCCTCAAACAAACTCCCTCACTCCAAAATAAACAAAAGCGGATTATTCAAGTCCTTAGGCAGCGACGTTAGTTCTGCCTCCACAAGAGGCCAGGAACACGACACAACTAGCGACAAGAAAAGGCCGCGATCTCACACCTCTTCCGAAGTAACGCCCCGGAAGGGAAAAACCCAGACAGGACCACAAAGTTCTGTCTGGGATAAGCTACAAGGATGCAGCTACGAGCCACCTGAAAATAGCTATAATAGACAAGGAAAGAGAAATCCTTGTCAAAAAGACATTGATGGGAGAGCTGGACAAAACAATTTTGTCCGCCTCCTGCAGCAAAACCAAGCCACCCACCTTCAGGTCTTGGACGCACTCTAGTGAAATCAGCAGAGTAACTAACGTGCGACGATGACCTGACGTTGGAATGGCTAAAAACCAAGGCACGAACCTTAAAAACATGGGAAGGAGCAACATGCACTCGCTGTTGTAAGGATGGACGAGCTCCGCAAGCTCACCAAAGCCTCTCTCTGGATCCCAGAGAAAGCG